CTTTTTCACCCATATGTAGTTGCTAGTCCGGCTCCTTTCCTGTATTTGTATTGTCTCAGCAGAGAATTTTGAATTTATAAATTAAATTAGTTTCTGGGAGCACTTTTATGCAGTACACAGAGCAAAACTTATTCATCCAGTTGCTTTTTGGCAGAAGCTTCCACTAACCTGACATACCACAAACCTGATAGTTTGTCTGAGTGGTTAACACTCATGGGCAGACCTGGGTGCTTGGTAATTTTTAGCTATTAAGCACTAGTTTAGGGACAAAATGGACAAAAAACATTTGATAAATCAGTGTTTTCTCATTCATAAGATCTGTTTAAACTGCCTTGTATGGGTGTACATTCTACATATGTTGCTCTGATAAAGGATAAGGAGTTGATTTTTTTTTTCACTTTCGTCATTGAATTGAAAAAAAGTTTTGAAATTGGAAAAAAAATGAAGCTGAAAAAAATAAGATGCATTTAAAAGCAGTGGTTTTACTTACTATTCATCAAAGTCATGACTCTTTCGTGTCCAGTTTACTGAACAGTCTTGTCTTGCAAAAAAGCTTTTACATTCTGTTGATGAAGTCTACTTCTTTCCTGCAGTTGCTGATAAAACCTTTCCTCTCTTCCCCCGCCTCCCCTTTACATTTTCAGTGTGCGGGAGATGTTGACAGGGCAGAGGCTTTGCCAGTCCAGCTCTCACAACGATGCTGTCCTGGCAGCCCTGAACCAGCAGCGCAGCGACGGCGTCCTGTGCGATATCACCCTCGTTGCCGAAGAGCAGAAATTCCACGCGCATAAAGCAGTCCTGGCAGCCTGCAGCGACTACTTCCGAGTAAGTCCGAAGACCTTTGGGTTTCCTTATGTCAATATCAAAAATCTCCCTGAAGGTGGGAGAGAGAGAGTTGAAGATTTTATACTGAGGAAGCTTGAAGTCTGAGCCTGTGGAAATTTGGGGATTATTGCACATAGTGCAATAAAAATGCAAGTAGAAGGATTAAGAACATCATTTTTTATCCTTATTTATGATTTAGTTGTGCTTTTCTTTTACAGTAGAGAAAGGCAGTGTGTAGCTTTCTATGAGGTCTGTACCCCAATGAAGTCTGAAAGAAGATGATTGTTTTTAGGCCTCAGGTGTTGGGGCCACTTGTGATTAGTGTGTGGGAAGGTGAGGAGAGGAAATTTAAATATTAATAAATATAGTTTATACAGTCTTGACAGAGGACTTCTATTGCGATGGCAATGGCCTCCCTCAAAAAAGAGGCTCTAGTAAGTTTTGAATATAAAGAGCTTTCTTATTTTTTTTTTGTATAGAAATAGTTCTGAAATATTAAAGGTTAAAATTAAGGTTAAAATATTCCCATGGGAATCTGACTAACTCCAGTACTCAGCATGGAAAGCTTTCATTCAAAATATAAGCTGAAGTAACTGAGAAAAGAAGTTTTCTAAGAACAGCATTTTTTGTAGCAAGCAGTGCTAGCAACCTTCATTATAGTGAATGTGCTCAGAATGTTGAATTCTACAGTAAATCTAGAGTAAGTTTATTTGATATTTTACCTCCACCATAACTGTAATGCTGAACCTCTTTATAGTGACCTCTTTGTTCTGTTAGAATAGTAATACAGTTAATGGCAACTGTACTGTATTCTTAATTTCTCTTTCTGTCTTGTACTCACACTCCTGGTAGAATTATTTAAGACATTTAAGACTTGATGTTATTTTCATTGTGATGAGTTTGAGCAAGTTGATTGCTTTTTCTTTTTTTGAGGGTGTCCGCATATTTCTGTGTTCTGTTACTGCACGTGCTGTTCTGCCAGAGTTGTGAATATTGTTTTATCATGGTGCCCTGGCCCACTGGAACAGAGGAAACACACGGTCTCTGTTACTTCTCTTTTCCCTAGTGCACAGAAGAGGAATGATGAGGAAGGTCTGTATGTTATGATTTTCAAATTCTTTTCTGTATGGTAACTCCTGAAGGACTCTTCTTTGAAAGAAGAGTCTCTGTGGTTTTCTCTAATTTAGTTTAGTTTAGTTTTCTCTAATTCCCTTATTTCAAAGGGAATTAGTAGCCACCTTCATACTCTAAGAAATCTATGTAAAGAGTAGTAAATATGTTTTTTAATGATTTTTTTTCTAAGCAGCAAACAGTATTTTAAGCAAACTTCCACATGCTTAATACTTCTGCCACAGCAAGCATGCTCAATTCTTAAAAGATATTACTCTCTAAAGTGAACCTAATGGATGTTAATATTATGTACAGACCTTGTACTTAAAACTGTCCCAGCTGTTTCTTAAGAAGCTTATTTTCATAGGCCTTCCAGCCTTATATCTTTCCTCCCTGTCAGCAGATAATTTCTTGGTGCATGCTGAACGTAGCTGAAACACTTGTGCTTTTATTCCTTTATTTATTATAGAATTCTTACAGCTGACAGTCACTAGAATATGTTACAGTTGCCAAGTCCTCAGTCCATGCAAACAGTGTAGTTTTTGCAAAAGGTGTGAGGCTGTGGAAGGGGAAGGCCGTTTCAGCTAGCAGTAATACCCATGCCACATCAGTTACACTTTCAGGTTTCATTGCCTTAAAAAAGCAGAGCGTGGTTGGAAAACTGGCTGATAATGGATAACTCACTTGAGCTGAGAGCTTTTGTTTTGCTTCACTGGCATGAGGAACTGTTCACATTCAACTGTATTAATTTCTGTGTATTTAAGATATAAGAGCGTATGGAAAGCAAACCTCTGGAATATTATTGGCTTATGTTGTTTTTCTGGTTTTGCTTTCTCTTCAGCACAAAGCCAAGTGGCAATTTTAATCTAGGCTTATGTCATTTGAATAAGTGATTTGCTTCAGTGGAAAATCTCTAGCTTCAAGTTTAAATGGAGAGATGTTTGCAGACCTGATCTAGGACAGTTACTAACTCAGGAATTAGAGCATCGCCTTGAGACATAGAAAGCTAAAGTTCAAGAGCAAGACTTCTTTGGTACCAATAAAAAAGAGAAGTTAAGGTCTTATCTTGTAATAGGTACTGGAGTGCTGCTTGCTTTTTGTTAGAAAAATTATATAGACATTGCCAATAGCTTTACAAAATTGAATCAAATCACTGGAAATAATACAACTAGGGTAGGTATACACTGCTCATTGTAGAAAAGTCTTTCTAATCTGAACTCTATCTGAAAAAAATGTGTACTTCTGAAGTATATGTGTCTATTGTTTATAAATGCTCTAATGTCTTCTAAATAAATATTTCATTGTGCATCTGGGTCTTTCTGTGACACTCCATCACTCTTCTATCCTCCCTCTCTCCCTCTCTCCCTTTGTCTCTTTCTTAATGAATAAGGAGGTATCCAAATTTCCAGCAGTTCTGGTGTAGAGTAGATGGCTGTTGCAATTCTCATAGTATTTAGATGAACCGATTGCAGTTGTGGCACTCCTGGGTGGCAACATGGTGTCCTGCTCTGCGAGTCACCCTTCCATGCAGCGCGGGTGGGCGCTGTGAGCAGGCAGAGCAGGAGCAACTCTGCAGTTAGTGAGATAGGCCCTAGGAGACTGTGGCTTCTTGTTGCTAATTAAGATAGCATTAGGTTGCTTAAAAAGAACAGAAATGAAAAGGATTCATTGCAGTCCTGTTTCTATAACTGCCAGTCTTCTTTGCTACCCTCTCCATTTCTTCCTCCAGGCTGCCTCAGTTCAGTTTTACAGCATAGCTGTAGTGGGTGCTCAGAACCTGAGCTGGGCTTGCTGTCGTTTTTGCAATGCTAGAAGAATCTGCCAAGGGAAAACCAATTCATCAGGATGGGCCTGTGGCAGAGAAGCATTTCTTGCCTGTTTTTTTCTTGGTCTCTAAGGTCTGCTGAGGAAATCTTCTGTCTTAGAATGTGGTTGTGTGCAGTAGACACCTTGTACACTTTGCAGCCCTCAGTAGTATTTTCTGCCTTAGAAATTAAAGCTATTCTTCTGTGGGTATAGTCAAGCTGAAACATCTTGTGGGCACCCAAGACAATTATTTGGGCAGAATGCTGCTTTTAGTTTCAGTCAAAGGGCCCATAGACCATCTTAATAACATGAGAAGTATCCAAAGAAAGAGGCAAGTCTGCTGAAGAGCTAAAAACCCAGATCTTACATTTGTAAAGTGTACATAGCAGCTGTTAGGATATTTTAACACTATCAGAAGAGTTCTGCTTTGTTTTGTTTTTCGTCGGGATGATCCCTCAGGATTTATTGCATTAATCTCATTTGTATAAGGAGAAATCCATCACAGTGCATGTGCTTGTGCCCTTTGTGTTGCACAACGTGCTGGTTGGAAGTCTTAGAGGAAATACCTTTCGCTAAGGTCTTCAATTCTTACGGCAGGATGTAATTTCTCTAAGTCAACCTGTTTTCAGTCCGAAACATCTAAAAACCTGTCTGAAGCCCTAGTCCACTCTGACTGAATGACCACTGTAGAAGTGACAAATGAATTTAGCTGCCAGTCTGTTAGTGAGAAGGGAGGGAACTGCCCTTGCAGCGCGATCTGAGCGCATAGGGATGGCCAGGCCGGGTCAGATCAAGGGTTAGTTCACTGCAGGAGGGCAGCAGTTGATATTTGCGATGTCTGGAGAAAAGGAGCAAAAAAGGGATAAGGGATAATGTGACACGTGTCCTTAGAATTCTCCAGCAGTTTTCAGTTCAGGGCATTTCTGGAGAAGGATGTAATTTTTGTCTATTTAGTAACCCCAGATAAGCCTGTTTTCCAAACATTTATCCTGTTTCTCCTTGAACTTGTGCGAAATTTTTCATTGACTATTCTCTGGCAAGAAAGCTGCCTGCCTGCAGCATGAAAAACTACTTTTTTCTCTATTTTGCTTCTGCTTCTGCTAGCAGACTTTGTTCCCTCTTTTTTTCCTTGAGTACTCTTATGGTACTTGGTTATCTCTGTCTAGGTTGGAGGCTTCTGACTTACTCAGATGCTTCTCAAATGGAAATTGTTCCATGTCCTTCATCGTACTTTGTGCCTTTTTCTGGAGCGTTTCCTGCTCTAAAATATCTTCTGTGAGATGAGGATAAGAGAAGTACATGCAGTGCAGGCCAAGCATAAATTTCTGCACTGCCATAGGGTTGTTTTGTTTTCTCTTTCTTGCCTAGCAATTTCTAAGCTTTTATTTCTTTTTATTTAAATTATTATTTTTTTATTTTAACTGCTCCTGCATAGTGAGATGTCTTTTTTATGGAACTCCTTCAACCTCCAGGGTTTCTCTCCTGAGCTGTAATGGTCAAGTCAGAACTAAAGATTTTCTATGTGAGGTTAGTTTTCTTTTTTTTTTCCTCATGTTCATCACTAATTTGAATTTCATTTGCTGTTTCATACACCCAGTCCCTCTATCTCATATGGTTCTTCTGTGATTTATCATTATTTTGCCCATTTCCTTGTTATACTGAATAACTTTGTCTCAGTGACCTTTCTAGCCTCATTGCCATTATCCTTTTCCACATCTTTTATGGATATGTAAAACAGCCCAGGCTCTGAGATGTTCCCCAGGGGATACTGCTCTCCTGTGAACACTGGCCTGCTGTCTTCCTGTCCTCCCTTTTATGTCTTCAGTCACTTATTTACCCAGGCAAAGACGTTGCTCCTTTTCTCTCTTGCCTAGTTTGCCTTACAGGCCTTTGATAAGCAATTTTGATAAAAGCTTTTTGAAAGTCCCCCCTGGGGGCAATATGAAGCAGAAACATGATGGCTGGGGCCCAGTGCAGCGTCCTCTTCACCCGTGGGCTGGAGAGAGGATAGCTGGAATCCAGCTTGAGCACCTTAGGTGGGATGTGGCTGTACCCAGGTGGTCTTAGTCACTGTGAAGAAGATG